GTGGTATCTTGCAAAACAGGTAGAATTTAGGAGTGGGTAAGAACCCCTAAAATTGACTTTTTTTTTAAGAGGGATTTTTTTCTTTTTAGGATATTTTGGAAACCAAATCTTGCATGAATATAATGTATTCCATATTTAGAATCTTTGTCCTCAAGAATTTTGAAAGCATTGGTTTTTGCTGAGAGGATAACTGATTATAATAAAACAAGCCTTGGATTCATTATCATTTATCCCAGACACATAAGAAAGCTTGCTTTAAGATACACATTTAAGGACAGAGATGCTATCTGGCTGTGGCATTCATTGAACTAGGTAGGTCTCAATATGATATATTTAATTTCATTTTCTTCATAAAGGAATTTGAGAGATTAAGCAGGGAAAAGTATATTCTTTTTTAGAAATAAGGAATTTCAGACACAGACTAAATGGCAATGTAGTTGGTAAGTGTCAGTGAGAACCAGAATCTATTTGTCCAGTTCTTTGGTTCATGTTCCTCTGTGGGTTCTTCTTTGTCCTTCTACCTGGGTGCTTCTTGCAGTAAGACTGAACACAGTACCTTCTTTTTCACTTTCCCCAGTCCACGCCCCCTGCTTGCTGTTGGAAGCCTCCTCTGAGAGCCCACTAGTGTTTGGGAATGCTCAGGAAACCTCCCTTCCTTATTCTTCACAAACTTCCCTTTAGACCACAGCTCCACAGTTCCCACAGCCCTGCATACTGGAGCTTATCCTAGATTTGGACCTGGTAGGTGAAGCGGTCCTTCTCAGTGAACTTCAAGTTGATGTTATCTGCTCCTCAACCCTGGGTTGTTTCCTGTAGGAATTTTCCTCTCTGCCTCCTGCCCCTATGAAACTACTCTGCATTCTAACCACAAGGGTGTGTTCTCTTGCATCATTCTGCAGACTGGCTGATATCTAGTATTCAGTTGGCAAGCATTTATTAAAGGAATGGCTCAACAATACAAATAATCCAGACTTCTGAGGCCTCATCCAGCCTCATTAATTAATTGAAATTTCAACTAATTAATGAGACTTTATAAATTTATGGTCTTCATATTACTTAACTGTCAAGTGGAATAATGCCACATATTAACTTTAGTGAGATATTATATGTACACCTAGTTATAATCTTACCACTCCTTAGAAGAAAGCTGTTGCAAAAATTCAGCTACCAAACCAGTGAAGATGTTTCCTATATATTAGCAAATTTCAAAAGCTTACACTATTTTCAGTAGCAACAAAAGCAAGCTGTATTTTAATGCTAGGTAGCTCAGTAGAAGAGGTGTTTTCTGCTTTAGGAAATATAGCTATCTATTTCTGCTTTATGAAATGTAGCTATCCATTTTCTTTTTATTTTTCTGTGGTATTGGGGATCAAACAAACCCAGGAAGAACTTCATGCATTCTGGGCAGACACTCTACCACTGAGCCACATCCCTAGCCCAACAATCATCCATTTTCTTAAAAGTGGCTTTTAAAAAGGGATGATGTGGGGTTTATACTTAGGTAAGAAAAAGTCATCAACAAATACAACAAATAACTGTGAATGAGAATGAGCAACGAGTAGGCACCAGTGAAGTTACAGAATATCCCAGCAAAAATACCAGAAAGAGGGCTGGGGACATAGCTCAGTTGGTAGAGTGCTTGCCTTACCTGTACAAGGCCCTGGATTCAATCCTCAGCACCCCTCCGCCCCCCCCCCCCCAAAAAAAAAAAGCCAGAAAGAAAGTTTTGAGAGGTATGAGGAAGAGTGGAATAGAAATGATGCCCTCACAAGGGAGGGTCCCAGGAATAGAGTGTGTGTGATTTTCTTGTGAGCACTAAATTTACAGTGTATGTGCTACTTGGTTGCTAAGAAGTGATATGTGCATACATGTCATGATAGCCCTTAGTAAGTGTTTTCAGTCTCAGAACAGTGGGTTTTATTGTTTTATGTATTTATTTTGGGGTGCTAGGGATCAAACCCAGGGCTTTGTGCATGCTAAGCATGTATTCCATCACTGAGCAACACTTCCTGCCCCCAAGACTGTGTTTTTTTTAATCCTTTCAACTTTACTTTTTGTTTTAATGTGAAAAATACTCAATCCAAAAGTCAAACTATATAAAATATATCCTCAGAGAAATCTCATTCTCATCCCTTCTTCCACCCCACCCAGACTCCAGAGTAAGCATGTTCATTAGTTTTTATTGTTCACTCCCTGATATTCTTTTCTGTAAAAAGCCAAATGTACCATTTTCCTTTTTCATAGAGGATTGCACAAGGTGTGCACCCTTTTGCATAATGTGGATTCACTTGGAAATATCTTGGAAATATCTGGGGTCTCTGAGAACTGCATTCTTTTGAGCTTCATAGTACTCTGGAATGTGAGTGAGCTGTCATTTATTATTCAGCCTTCTCTGAACAGGCATTTGCCTCATTCCTAGGATTTTGACATTAGAAATAATGCCACAATAAGTAATCCTGTGCATATGGTATTTCATATTTGTGAAGAAGGATCATAAGCAATTAAAGAGAAATACATCAGTAGTTTTCCTGACATTTTTGTAAATGTCTTTACCAATAGCCATGTCTGAGAGTACCTGGGAGTTGTGCTGCATACATATAACAGTTCAATGCATTTATTGAACACCCACATACATAAATTCAAATACACACTCTACATACACACACCAGAAGTGCAGCTGAAGGTCAAAAAGGTGGAGGCTGGAAGAGTGTACTTTCCTCAAATTTTTTAACCTACCAGTGACAGAGCTGGGAGTACCATAAGTTCTGAATGTCTTCCTGTGCCTGTCTTTCTGCTATCCTGTAGTCTTAGAACAGTGCTAGGGAGCTGGAGCCAAACAAAATAGGCTTCTCAGGGTAATGTTGGTTAGGCCAGGAGAAACAATGCCAAGGGGTGTTAATTTCATTATTATAAAAAAAAAACTTTGAGCAGAACACCCACCCTTTTCTGAGTAGGACACTCACTAAGGGTTTAAATTTGTGACATGGTATTCCTAACATTCACATATCCAGAGAAAATGTAAATTCAGAAATGCAAAAGTACTTTGAAAGAAAAAATCCTTTTTAAAGTTCAGTACATCAGTTCTACGTTTTTGGCATCTGAAGAACCAGGGGACATGGGGCTGGTCTATCAAATTAGTGACCACTTTAGGTTAGGGAACTCTTGAAAGGGAAATTCCAAAGCAGGCAACGCTGGAGACAGGAGTCTTTATTTCTCCACATAGGTTTTTGTTACCACTGACCCTTGTTCTTTGGCCTATGGACTGAGTCTCTGCTGAGATTTCCACAGGAGCAGCCAGCGCTACAGGAAGGGAGGGTTTCAACTAGAGTTCTGATGTTCCCTGACCTTTGGGGCCAGCAGCCATTAGGAGAACCTGTTTCCTGACTATGGCAAGCTTGAGCATCAAGTTCCAAGAAAGTTTGCTTCTGATGGAAAATAAAGTAGACCCATTTAAAGTGACACATGGAAGAAACACCCCGTCTCCCAGTTTATCACAGAAGACTCTGGTGAAATGAATTGTAATTTGGGGCAGAGACCTGAAATTGCTCTTCCCTACCAAAATAAATTGATTTCTTCGGCTGTCTAAACTTCATTTCTTGAACTGGACAGGAGCTCACCTAAGCTAAATTAAACTTATTTTCCATTAATAAAAACTGGGTCACTCTGGACTGCTTGAGTATGCTTCTGAGTGTCTTAAAGCACATTCCAGAAAGCCCAGTGTTTCAATGCTATTTTCAAAACTCACCTAATTTAGCTAACATAACCCATAACATTTGCACACACCCCTCCCTTGGTGTGCTGCTATAGATTTGGGGTCTATTTCTAACTTTGTTATATCTGTCAGTCAGATCGTAGCAGGAGGGCATCCTTACACATCTAATGGGGCTGGAGAAAGGCCAAAGGGATGGACTGGCTGCCTGCCTACCTTGGGCCCCTCCTTGCCCAAAGAAAGCTTGGTTTTCTCTGTGCCTTTGTTTTCTCTGTGCTACTGGTAGCTTTGCACTACAGTATTCTGGAAGTTTTATTTATACCTAGGGGCCAAGAGACTGGATCTTGGAGGTAGAAGTTGTACAGTATAAAATAGATGCCATTCCATGGAGCCATCTTAGAAAAGGTTTATTCAGGGAGGTCAGAGCATTTCTGATTTGAGATCTCCCTGAGCAGTTGGTGACATTGGCTTGTTCTTAATCATTGGAGGTGGGTGTGAGCCACTAGGGTGACATCTGGTCTCCTACTCCAAGGCTTGTGCATATTCAGCTGCGCTACCTTTTTGTTTAGAAACCCATCTCTACAATGTCAGGAGTTGGACTTATTAGGAAAGCCCAATGTTCCCTCTCCCACCTTTCTCTTCCTGCAACTGAGAGAGGGCCTAGGGTGGGCCTCATGGGGGCTGCCCATGAATCCTGACTTACACCATCTGGAAGACATAAGTCCCAACTGTGGGGTGAATAGTTTAAATAAGGCATTTGGGATATTGTGAAATATAAAGATCTAGAAATATTAAAATAGTGGGAGATGTCTTTCAAATTAAAAAAATGGGAGGGGGATAAAAATCTTTGTAGTACTTTATTTCATGCATTCTTTACTAATCTGAAGAATCATACCATGTAACTTTTTAAAAATGGGACTGGAGGTATAGCTTAGTAGAGTGCTTGCTAGCATCTGAGGCCCTGGGTTCAATTACCAGTACCACAAAACAACAACAAAATTTACCTTTCTACTGAAATAGTCACAGTATCTAGAAATGTGGAAAGCCAGATAAATAATAGGAAAATAAATGCTTACCCCTGTTTTCCTTCCTTTTTTAAAAATTTAAATGAACATTCATGAGAAACAGGGGTGGGCCTCTCTTTAACTTTTGGCCTGCCCTGATTGATCACTCCAGATTTTCATGCTTTTAAGCTATATTCTCTCCTCCTTCCTTGTTGCTTGTGTGAGATCTTCTCAACGATATGCAAGTTACTCACCACTGACAAAGTTTCTCTTGCTTCTGTTTCTAGTGCACAGAGGCCAAAAAACATTGCTGGTATTTTGAAGGACTCTATCCAACATATTATATGTAAGTATTTGCCTCTCTGTTGATTTGATTCTGGGGTCATCTCTTTTTCTGGGAATTATTTCTTTAATATGTAGTTGCCTGTGTTATGGGATGGGGAAAGCCCAGGCATGGCCCAACCTCCACCCCAGGATTTAGCCCTGCCTGTGCTCATGGATAGCAGGTGGCCTCCCTGAGGGCATTCAACCTGCTCAGACCAGTCACTCTGAGCACAAGAAATAATACTACATGCTCTGTGAGGTATCTGAGCTCCTCCTAAATGATTGGTAAAAAGGTGCAAGGTGTTTTTGGAAGGCAAAACTTATGTTGGTTTATATTTTCCTAAGCAAAGGGAGAAGAACAATTGGAATAGATTTATGTCTTGAGCAAGACAAGAAACAGTTTTCAGCTGAGCTCATGTAGTATGTGCACTTGTATGGGGAGGAAGGATGAAAGAGAGAGAAGAGAAAGAGAGAGAGAGAGAGAGAGAGAGAGAGAGAAAGAGACAGAGAGAGAGAGTGTGTATGTGTGAAAGAGAAATCACAACTTCATCTCCCTGAAGCCCCGCCCTAGACAGGTGTAGCTATAGCTCTGCTCTGCATAGCTCTCCACTCAAGTGGCAGGGACTGTTCCTTCCTGTGCCTTCCTCAGTGTCTGTCAGGCTTGCTCTTATGAAAGTGTTGCTGGGCTTTCTCCCTATTACTATTATTAATATCTGCTGGGTTAGCCACAAACTCTACACAGCCACCTGCCTAGGTAACTGGATTACCCCTACAGGATATCAATTACTGTTTTTGTTTGTGTTTTGAAGTTCCATAGGTTTTGTGTGGACTGTTCCAAATCAATTTTTGCCAAAAGCTCTGATATCTTAATTTAATTCTGTAAAACATCAGATTTTTTCAATAATATACATAAATTATATTATAGCAGAAGCACAGTACAGTCCAGTATGTAGACTAATTAGACAGGAAATGCATACTACAGCCAGCCATACACAGGTTATCCCCAAATTGCGTCTATTCTAAATGTATAGACTTTTTTCCTTGTCATTTTCCCCTAAACAATAGAATGTAACTACTATTTACATAGAATTTGCACCATATTTGGTATTATAAGTAATCCAGAGATGATTCAGAGAGATATGCAAGAGCTCTGTACAAATGCTAGGGTATGTTTTACGAGGGAGTTGAGCATCCTTGGATTTTGGTATCTGTAGGGGCACTGGAACCAATCCCCTTAGGTGCCCGGAGACAACTGTAATAACTAAAAGTGTTGTTTCTTAATTTGTCCAGGTTGTACATTTTTTTTTCTGTTATTCTTACCTATCTAGGGAGACCAATCTGAAAGGAGGAAGGCTTATGCATATGTGAAGCACAGGGAAATTGGCAATGTCTTGTCTTGGTTTCATACTGAAAAGCAGGAGTCCTTAACACCCCATGTTGCAGGGGTCCTGGCAGAAAGAAAGCCTTTGCAACTGTAGAAAGACAAAACCCACTTGTAAAATAAAGCAGCAGCATAAGGACTTTGATTCTAGTTACAGAGCTATCAGGTTGAAGAAAAATTGTTATGAGATAACAGGGAGATCAAATATTTTGTTTCTTCTCTGTTTAATGAATATCCATTAGTCTGCCTTCTTTCCTTGATTCAGCTTCTTGCATCAAGGTGCATTACCTGCTTCTTCAAATGTGTTCTTCCTTGAAAACAGATATTTCTCCAGTTGTTTTGTAGATCAATTTGTGAGAGTCAGCAGCTATTCTTATACTCATTCATTTGTTTCTTTCTTTATTTTTACTACATATTTTGAGAGTATTTTTGCATTAAGAGAGAACACAAAGACAAGTCCTGCTTTCATCATTCAGACCTGCTGCTTTGGTTTCCTTTCCTCTTCTCCAGTGGTGAGAAGGATCCAGATGTACTATCTCAAAAGATGAAAAGTCAAGTCACTTTAATGATTTAGGATACTGACATTAAAATACTGACACTCAACATAGAAAGAATAACAAATAATACTTATTGCACCTAATACAGGCTAGGCATACCCTGGACATGAATTAATGCCGTTAATCTCATAGCCATTGGAAAACCCAAGCCACAACCACTCGTCCTCTAGATTCTACCTCTGATCTTCCTGTATATATTCTACCTCTGATCTTCTTTATAGTGCCCTCATTTGAACCCAGTCCTCTCTAAATGTTCATGTGAAACCAATACAGAAACTTTTGAATGCATCTTCTCTCCTCCAGATCTCATGTCTTCTAAATTTTTATGTTCCTTTTATGAATACAAACATTAGGGACAAAGTTCAACTTTTAATCCATCTTTAAACAGTAGATTTCCAAGATACTTGATACTTGTCTAGCTTGATCTTTCTTTCTTTCTTTTTAAAATATCTTCTTTCTTTATTTTGAATTCCATCAGAGCTATGACTTACACTTTTTGGAATTTCCTGTGCCTAGAATAGTGCCTGGCACATTCCTAAATGTTGAGGCAATGCCTGTCCCTCCAGTCCCCACTATGCACTCAGCAGGTGACTTTTTATTGAAGTCTTCCATGATTCAGTTCCCCTTCCCTTAAGTCAGAACTTCTTCCTCCTTCCCCATTTGGTTCTGATATTAGCACCCTGAATAGTCCTCACTAACACTAGTCAAACACATGGTGTGTCCCCTGAGGGCTCCCAGGAAGTGGCAGTGAAATGTAAACATTTTACATACATAACTTTGTCCAATGCCTGAAACAAGTCAATGTTTGTCCTCTGATTTGTGCAGCTTTCTGTCCCTGTTATTATTTCTTATATTCTGGTATCCTTTCCCTAAGCATAGATTTTAAGTAGGTAAAAAAGATCCGGACTCAAATATTTGCTCAGTTTTTTTATTTGAGGTGAAACTCAGCAAAATTAACCCTTTTAAGGTGAACTATGTAGTAGCACAGAGGAATATCCTCTGTACTACTGTTCATCACCTCTATCCAGTTCTAAATAGCTCCATTACTTCATCCTATTATTTACCAGCTCTTTGACCTCATCAATTTCCTCCTCTCTAAAACGTGAAGTTCTCACCTTCTGGATCATGGTCAAAATTGAAATCACATGTGAATATCTACATACTTAATGCTAACATACATTTCTACTGTGTAGGTTCATGTGATTAATTCTCCCACAGACTAAATTTGCTACTTCTGTGCACATTTAAGGAATGTCAGAGTCCTGATATAACCTTGAGCCCATCATGATGCCAAGAAGAAGAGCTACTTAACTTCAGGCAACCAGCACTTGGGATAGTTAACACTCAAAAGCTGTTCTCCCTGATCTCTAACAAGTTGGATAATGAAATGTTTTTATCCAAAGGGAGTAAGGAGAAATTGCTTCCATATCAAAGCTCTTGCCCAAGGATAGATTTGCTGCAGGTCATGTGGTCACCCCAGAAGGCTCACAACGTATACTAGAAGTGCTTGGGACTGCAGAAGACATGTCTGTCCAATTAAGCCAATTCTGGGGATTCTTTGGAGTTGAACCTGACATGGGTGCAGGTAATGGAAGACTCCTAGCCAGCCTGGGCTCACCGTGTTGCTCAGCACCAGGACAGGATCAAGCCTCTCTCTGGACTAGCCATCTGTTTTCTTTACACTGCCCCTGACCTGGCCTCTCTACACATTTATGTGTAAGGTGCTCTCCTGAAGCAGTGACAGCTGCTCTTCATTCTCTCAAACCCAAGTATTTGTTGAGTGTCTGCCACGTGTCATTTGTGTATTGCTGTGCTATACAGGACAGGGAAGGTACTTGGGCCTCAGGGTTATGGTGTAATACTGTGAGACTGACTGGTTATTTCTGAAGCAACTCTAACATTACATTTAAAAACCTATAAGTTATAGCAGATCTCATTTTAAAAATACATTTCCAATGTATTATTCCTTTCATTTCTTCTGGGTAAAGTGCTTTATATAAGATTCTCCAAAATGGATAATTCCTTAAAGATATGTTGATTCAAGTTGGCATCCTTCCACGCTGTTATAGATTAATTTTTTTCCCATGCAGGAAATATATTTCAAATAACACTGCTGTTTTGTGACTGTAACTTACCATGTAGAATTCATTGGGGGAAAGACATCTAGGTTGCAAACTTGTCTTGGAAACTTTGCTTTTATATTTGAAAATCTAATTTCTTTTTGTCTCACCAGAAATCCCATCTGACATTCCTCCTTCTTGCCTCTCTGCATGTCTCTGAATTTCATTTCACTGTTCTAAGCTCATAGAGGCTAATTTTTTTTATGATACTTAAGTTTCCATTGGAGATACCTAGACATATATCACTCTCACCTGTTCGGATTTTGTTATGTTAAATTTATCACTCTTTCTGCCCTCTCCTTAGCAAGTTTTATTTCCATTTGATATTTTAAAAGAGTTGAGCTGAGAGACTACATATGTATATGTACCAAAAAAAATCTTATTTTTGAAGAAAAAATTTGTCCTTTGATCCATAGAGAAACACATATTTCAAGCCTCTCCTCTTTTTTTTTCTTTCCCTACTTTTCACTTCATAACCTTTCTTTACTGTTGCAGCTGCCCTTTAGAAAGCTCTTAATTAAAATGGAGTCTTTTTTTTTTTTTTTTTTTTTTTTTTTTTTTTTTTTTTTGTACTTTGGTTCAGGGCTTACTAGATGTCTCCTCTTAGCAACAGTGTGGTTTAAAAATAGCAACTGGTCATGTGGCCTCCCCAAATCCAGTTCCTTTGCTCAAGTTCTGTACTTGAGTTTTCCTTCCACCCAGGATTCCCTCACTCAACCCCTTGTGTGCAAGGCTTAGAACACAGTGTGAGCTGCCAAGAGGCAGGAGATGAGAAGATAAGGAAAGGCCCTGCCAAGGAGCACAGCCAAGGGCCCTGCAGGCATGGATCCAAAGGAGTACTCTTTCCTCCCCATCCAGAAAGTATAGCAGACAAAAGTGGCATTTATCAGAGAAGAGGCTCAATACAGTTTCATATCCGGGAGCTCACTTCCACACCCAGGTAGCTGCAGGAAGCACTGTGACC